TGGATGAAAATGTTGGAATCTCTTGACTTGTCTGCAAATGAGCTTTGTGGCACGATTCCTACCAGCCTTGCTGATCTAAATTTTCTCAGTGTGTTGAATTTGTCACATAACAGGCTGGCGGGAAAAATCCCAATAAGCACTCAATTGCAAAGCTTTGATCCCTCTGTATATTCGGGAAACCTTGAACTTTGTGGACTTCCACTTCCAAATAAGTGTCCAGGAGAAGAAATAGTTGTGGAACCTGTTCTTGTTCGGGGCAAAGACAAAAGGATTCAAGAAGATGATGACAAGTTTATTACCACTGGATTTTATGTTAGTATGGGGCTGGGTTTCACCTTTGGATTTTGGACAGTGTTTGGCAGTATGATTTTTGACAAACCATCTAGACATGCTTATTTCAAGTTCTTGGACTACATAAAGAATTGGTTTTATGTGGCAACTGCACTTAGTATGGTTAGATTGGGAAGGAGGCTTCAAAGGTAAACGGTAAGTATCTTTTTTTAATTTTGTTACTTCTCTTCTCTTTTTGTGTCTTGATCGTTGCTAACAAGTTAGGCATTTTTTATTTTATTTTTTTTATAAATGTTTACCTATAAATAGCTATTCATGGCTACATTGTAAGAGGATTCAGAACTTAAATTAAAAACAATTGATTTATACTTTTCTTGTCATTTATATTTCCTGCATTTTATTTTACGCACTTTCTTTTCGTTCAAAATGTAGTACATATGGGGATTCTTGTTTGTCATTTGATCAATTACGGTGGTATTTTGATGAGGCATTGAAGAACAATCCAGGTAGTCGTTTTGAGTTAGATTTTGAAGATAACAAGCGTTTCAAAAGAGTGTTTGTGGCTTTTCATGCATGCATTGCTGGTTTCAAATATTGTCGGTCATTGTTTTTTCTTGATGGAACATTTTTGAAAGGACGATACAAAGGAGTTATGCTTGCTGCGACGGGGAAAGGTGGGAATGAAGGTAATTGTAAATATATCTAATTTTATCTAAGTATGTGAATTTTCTATACATGTAGGAATTGAGTGAATGTGATTTTCTCTGACACTTTGAATTTTCTCTGGTTTTGGCCACTGTGTGAATTTTCTCTAGTTGTGGCCTACTGTTAGAATTTTCTCTGGATTTTGGTCAGTGTGTGAATTTTCTCTAGATGTTGTCATTGTGTGAATTTTATCTGCAGTTGGTCACTAAGTGAATTTTCTCTGGATATTCTGATTGTGTGAATTTTCTCTGTAGTTGGTCATCAAGTCAATTTTCTATGGATGTTGTCAATGTGTGAATTTTCTCTGGAGTTGGGCACTAAGTGAATTTTGTCTAGAGGTTGCCATTGTGTGAATTTTCTCTAGATGTTGGCAGTGTCAAATTTCTCTAGTTGTTTATCGTTCTAATTTTCTCTGCATTTGTATATCTAATATGCTTGTTGCTATTTGTTTTGTAGGTTTTTTTCCTATAGCTTTTGCTGTTGTTGATGTTGAGAATAAAGACAATTAGTGTTGGTTCCTTGAACATTTATGTGAAGTATTGGGATCAAAGTGGGTAATAAGCTTCATATCAGATCGACATTGCGGTATTATGGAAGGAATTGCTAGGTTTTTCCCTAACTGCTTTCATGGATTTTGTCTTGAGCATCTAAAGAGAAATTTGAGGGATAAGTTGTCATGTGGAAACACAAATTTGGTTAGGGAGACGATTGTGTCCAAGTTTTCAGAATCTGCATATGCTTCAACAAAGGCATCATTTTATTTCAAGTTAAATGAATTAAAAAGTGAGGGAGGAGACGTTGTGAGTGTTTTCTTGAGAAGTTTACCTTATGAAAATTGGAGTGATGCATATTTTGAGGGGAAAAGTTATGGTGAGATGTATTCAAATGTTGCTAAGTCATTCAATTCATGGATACGAGAAGCTCGACACTTGCCAATAACAAATTTGGTGGACATGATACGGTTACAAATCATGAATATGAGGTTTGATAGAAGGCTGCTCTCTAGTAAATGGAATAAAGTTCTCTGTCCTCGTATGGATAGTGTATTGGAGAAGTCTTTCTTGGATGGGAGGACATGGAATGTGAGTTTATCATCTGATAATGTCTTTGAAGTGCATTGTTTTTCTTCGGTTATGATTGAGCTTGGTTTGAGAACTTGTTCATGTCGAAAATGGGAAATAAATGGGTATCCATGTCAACGTGCTGTTGCTGCAATTTTTAGGAGTGGGAAGAATTTGAATTCATTCGTTGAACCATTTTTTCATGCTGATATGTATCGTCAAGCATACTCGTCTTCGATTGGCCCAGTTGCAACTGTTGAAAAACTTGTGTGTAGCATTGATGATGCTATGATTTTACCTCCATTGAGTAAGAGACCAGCTGGGAGGCCAAAGAAGAACATAATTGCTTCTACTGGAGAGTTTAAAAGGGTGATTAAGTGTAGTCGTTGTGAGAGTATTGGTCACCATAATAAGAGGACATGCAAGGAACCTTTGTTAAATAGTTGAGGATAATACATTTTATTGATTGAATAATACATTTGATGATTACTTTTGCGTATTTTGTTTTGTGAAATGTATTTTTTAGAACCTGTATATAATAATACCAATCAAATTCATCCAGAGAAATTTTCCAATAGCAGTGAAAGTGTGCATTGTGTTTGTTAATACATACTATAGGCAGTGGGTTTGTAATACCAGTCAAATTCATCTAGAAAAATTTGCCTATCGCAGAGAAAATTCTCTATGCATTGTATTTTGAAGCTTTAAATTAATCTAGAAAAATTTGCCAATAGTAGAGAAAAGTACTGTGTGCATTGTGTTTTTTGAATTTGATAATTGTTTTGTACTAACACAATGCATTACAGATTGCATGATCATATAGGTACCCTCTTTGGCACGATACGAGTTAAATTTCTCTGTGAAAATTTCATCCAGAGAAATTTTCCACTAGTAGAGAAAATTATCTGGGCATTGTGTTTTGAAGCTTGAAATTCATCCAGTAAAATTTGCCAATAGCAGAGAAAATTACTGTGCGCTTTGTGTTTTTTGAATTTGATGATTGTTTTGTACCAACACAAAGCATTACAGATTGTATGATCATATAGGCATCCCCTTGGGACGATACAAGTTTAATTTCTCTGTGAATTTCTGGTAACATCATACCAGAGAAATTTCTGCAGACAATTTTTTCTGAGTGGATTGTGTTGACAATCACAATAAAAAATATATATATATATATATATTACGTCAAGGATCATCATTCCTTCAATGTATCAACAAGAAAGGATATATACATATACGTCAAGGATCATCATTCCTTCAATGTATGAAAAAAAAAAATTGAATGGTTAATCCTAATTATATTGTGTACATTGTCTTCCTTGCACTAGTTTCACTATTACACTTTTGGTTCTTCTTCTGGAGGTATTTGAACTGGTTCTGTCCATGATCGGCCAACTTCGGTCACAAATCTCTCTATCATTTCTACCCTCATCAACCTTATGTCTTGTGTGGACAATTTCGAGCTGATAGGTTCATGCCTGTTATATTGTCTCATTATATAGCATACAAAGAGGCCACAATCCAGACTGCATACAAATTATATGTATAGTTAGTTTTAAGAAACATTCAAATCAGATTATCTTATTTATAGACGTTGTATGAAACTTACGAATCACTGTCTTGTTGTGGAGCATTGTTGACATACTCAAAGTCGTAATTTGTGTTTTGTGAATTTATCAATTTGAAAGAGGGTTGTGATTGTGCCTCTCTTGCAAGTCAAGCTTTCAAAAAATTCTCCACATAATCTTGTTGCAAAAATATAATTTTTAAATAACAGAGAAATTTACAGACAAATCAATGGGATTCTATGGAATTTATTATCACATAAACATTATGATGGATCAGAGAAATTTGCACTCGTTACCAATTGTTTTGCATCTTTGACATATTTGTCTTCTGCATCATCCCTCATTGGCCTCAGTGAGTTGTAGAACCTCCATAAATTGTCTTGTTTGTCCAGGACAAGCAAGGTCCAGTGATTTCCATGTGTGGACTTCTCATTACCTCCAGTATTTATTGGGAAATAGAGGAACCTGTAGTTCCTCCATGCTGTTTCAATATGCTTGTCAAATAAGGACACTCGAAAAGTTTGATCTTCCGTCATCTTGATAAAATTCTGTGGTCAGAGAAAACCAAAAAATGGTTATGTTTATGAGAAAGTTAAAATGACAGGAATTTAAGAAATATACACAGAGAAATTTTAAATGCACACAACTAGCTCGAGAAAATTAGACTTGTGACACAACTGGCTTCAAGAAGTATCTTAATAAGAGAAAGTGGTAAGTAAATTCTAGAAAAAATCAAATAAAAGAGTAGTAACATACTAAGCTCATGGATATGGAAAAAAATGAAGTTAGTTGTTGGCTTTCTCTCATTTCGTCAGCAAAAAAGATCTCTCCATAGCCATCAATGACCTGAAAAATATGATTTATAATTGTAATATTGGTTTATAAAGACCGATGTAACATTGCAGAGAAATTTTGATGAAAGACTTATATTGTTGGCAATTTCTTTTTGCTTTATTAGGTTTTCAATGTCTTCAAAGGTAATGAGATTCAACTCACTTGTCCAAATTAACGCCCTACAAGGTGACAAAGAAGGGATTTAATAGTTGTTAACGCAATATAAGTTAGCAAATTGTTGTTTGTTATCTTCTATTTTATTTGTTATACTTATTCAAGTCCAGACACATTTGATATCTACTGCAAGATGTCTTTTACATGATCTTTTATCAATCTTGAAACCGGTAGAGTTTGTGAAAAAATCCAAGATTTTCTGATGGTTGTTGGTTGAGGCAAGACGTATGCATCAACATCAAGTACTTCTTTGTCTTTTGTGGTTTGCTCGGTTTGCTTTGCAGCTTGCTTCAAACCTCTAGTCACTTTCGCAACTTTGGGATATTGAAATTCTGGATCGTGCTGCTTTTCTTTGCTTTCTTTTGCCTTTAAATTTTTTATCATTGATGTGGGATCTTTTTTGACTGTAGACAGTGAAAATATCAGTAAAAGTGAAATTTCTCTGAAGTAACAGATGATATTTCAATATGTAAATTTATTTGATTCAATATTTTTCAGTTACCATAGACTTTTGTCTTTTGTTTCGGTTGTTCTTTGTGTGCCATTTGTTCTTGTTGAGTTGTTGGTTGTTGTTTCACTTGCATTCCAACTGTACACAGTGAAAATCAAACAAGCCCCAAAAATCGAATAAAAAAATAGACAGAGAAAATCAAATAAGCAGCAGAAATCAATAGAAATAAGCAGTAGAAACTAATGTGTTCAGAGAAATTTAATTTGCAGAGAAAATTACCATTGACAGAGAAAATTATAATAAATAGAAATTTCTCTGAGTTATGTTGACACAAGGACATAACTTTTTGTGGCTCAAGATTTTCACTGACCTTGTGGTTGAAGTTATGTTGGTGTTCGGTATGGTTGCGTTGCTAGTTGGACGGATAGTTCTTGAACTTGTTCATGCAATTTAGCCTTTTCAGTTTCAAGCTCCGAAATTGAATACCTCAACTGTTGAATTGTTTTGTATCGTCTTCTTTTTGAACCTCCAACATCCTTAGTTTCATTTGGATTGTGCCGTCTCTTTCTTGAAGTTCTGAGTTAAGTGATGTCAAGGTTCTTATTGCAATATCCTTTTCAGCAAGTAATTCAATCAAATTTCTCTCTTCTTCTTTTTTAGATTGAGAAAGTGCCTTTAGTCTTTGACGTAGATCAGCAATTTGGGCATCCTTTGATTCTTTAGATTCTTGAAGCTGATGCATTGTTGAGCCACAAATGCTATCACGATATTGGTCTATCGGCGCATTATGTTCTTCTTCATCACTTTCCTTATTGTTTTCTTCTTGCTGTTTAGATTGAGTGCCTTCATCTTCTTCTTCACTGTCTTTTTCTTTCTGTTCATTTTCTTCTTTGTCTTGTGCTTCTATTTCTTCACTTTCTTCTCTGGTTTCTGCTTCTCCACTGCTTGCTTGATCTTCTTGTCCATTGCTGGCTTCGTGTTCTTCTATGTTGCCTTCTGCTTTTTCATTCCCTCATTCTTCAGATGAATCTTGTAATGTCTCCTTGAATTTGACAATTACCTTTTTTGATTCTTTCTTCGTCTTTTTACCAAGACAGAACTCCTCTGATGGGTTTTTGACTAGCTCCTTGTTATCTATCTATAGCAAGAGGCTCTTTTATTAGAGAAATGTTACAAAATTCACTGAGAGAAAAAATTCAAATAAGGAAAATAAAATCCATCTAAATGATACTAATGGGAAACAAACTTTAGAGAAAATTGTATGGGCCAGAGAAAATTACAGTCAAGGAGTTAAATTTATAAGACAGAGAAAATTATGAAACAAACAACATAATTTAGATATGAGAGAAAATCAATCAAGGCATATAAGTTAATGTTTTACTATAATTGTGTTAGAGAAATTTGGATTCCAGAGAAAATTCATTAGAAGGGTAGAAATAAACAGTGTTAATCAAAGATGCAAGGCACATAAGTTATGGGCCAGAGAAAATTACACACAATGAGAAACAATTTTATGTGCCAGAGAAAATTATGAAACAATCAACATAATTCAATCAGGGCATATAAGTTAATGTGTTACAATTATGGTCAGAGAAATTTGGATTGCAGAGAAAATTGATTGCAATGGCAGAAATAAACCAGTGGTAACCAAAAGAAGAAACATAAATTGATAGTTCAGAGAAAATTGATCTCAATCAATCAAGGCACAATGAGGGAAACAAACCAGTGGTCAGAGAAATTTTGAAATTTCACTGAGATTTCAGTGGCGATAGAAATCTAACCCGTCAAGGTGCAAGAGAGTGGACTGGTGTTTTCTGCAACTGTTTCGTCAAGGTTTGCAGGTTCTACTTGGCACATCTTGGGAAGTCAGTTGTGTTACTGTCTTCCGAGTCAATGATATTTGCATGTTCACATAGCCAATACTGTGATGAAAATTAAAGTAAGTAAATTTTGCTAAACACACAAATTTGTAAGTATGATAACTGCAAATTTGAATGGATATTATACTTACCAGCAATGCAATGACACACCTTGTAACTTTTTCTGGAGTTTTGTGCAATGCTATGATAGAATCAATCAATGTTGATGTAATTGCTTCTGGCCAATCATACTATTTCATTGATTCAAGAGGTTCCACATACTTTATAAAAATCCACCCTATTGAATTCTCACTTGTTGCAAAAAACAGGGTGAGACACAAGTACAATGTAACGATGATTGCTACATCTTTGAAGTCAGTTGATTGCTTGCCTTTCATTGCTTTGACCAAGGCATTTTTAAGCCTTGTGTCCTTTTGGAATTTTCTCCTTAGGAATGCAAATTTTGGCTTTTTAGAGTATCTTAATGACATGGCTCCTTTACCTCATTGCAAACCAAAAGTCAAGGTCACGTCATTGGTTGTAAAGGTCAAGTTCTTTTTACCAACTGTGAATGCTTTTGTTTTTTCATTGTAACATTTGATTATTGCAACTACATCATCATCAGATTTCCTAGATTTCCTTGTATCCATCCTTCCAGTGGTTAGAGCTTGGATCAAATACCAGAATGAGGTCTTTTGAAGCTCTACAAGTTGGTTTGAATTGAATTTAAGTGTTTGAAAAAAAGAGACAACAGATGAGAGGTTGGATCGGTATTGAATGCTGTAGTGAGCTCTCCTTCTTTGGAGTTTAATAGGTTTTTTCCCCCTTGAGCTTGAGTCTATTGAAGTTGGGGTACTCATCTTGATGCTAGTTGCTTCATCACCTTAGACTTGTGTGTTTTGGCATGGAGTTTGTGGTGTTTTGGTGCTGGTTTTTGATCTTAGATCATAAGAAGACTGAGAGAGTTTTTGTTTCTTGCTTGGTATTTACAGTGTTTTGCTGCTGATTTTTGATCTTAGATCACAAGAAGACTGAGAGAGTTTCTGTTTCCTGCTTGGTGTTTCCGGTGTTTTGCTACTTTTACGTTTTGCCATTTCTAGACAATGATGAAAACATAAAGATGTCAACATTAAATCCCAGATAAAATTGAACATGCCAGAGAAAATTGGACATGTTAGAGAAAATTACACATAAGGGAGAAAATTAAGTGGCCAGGCAAAATTATAAATGTCAGACAAAATTAGACACTAAAAGTTAAATGTCAGAGTACTAATTGTTTTCTGTGGAATACATCTAGCCATAGAAATTTCCATTGCCAGAGAAAATCAACAAAGCATCATAAACATGGAAGGGAAATTTTTAATAATTTTTAAAATTACATATAGAAGTAAAATATAACCAGAGAAAATTGAAAAAAGAAACATATATCTAGCAAGCACATAAAATGAATGACAGAGAAAAGTAAACATAGCAAGGCAAATAAAATTTCTATTCCACAATTAGCAAGATAAGATAAACAAAGTAATGTAAACATGCCACTGAAAATTATACCACATTGAAACCAAGAATTGAACAAAATAAACATACTAGAGAAAATTACACATTCTTGAGAAAATTTCCATTCCAGAGAAAATTTCAAGTCCATAATATTAAAATGCCAGAGAAATTTACATACACAACCAGAGAAAATTAAACATGATAGAGACGCACAAGGGAGAAAAGTGATGTGGCTAGAGAAAATTATAACTTCGACACAGACAAGAGAGTAATAAGCATTCCAGAGAAAAATACATATTACAGAGAAATTTACAAAGCAGAGAAATTTATAGACAAAATCACAGAAACATATTCAAGAATAAGATCAAAACACAGAGAAATAACTTTTTTTCAAAATAAAAATGCTAGAGAAAATTCAAATAAGAAATATACATTCCAATCCATAATATTAAAATGACAGAGAAATTTACATACACAACCAGAGAAATTAAACATGATAGAGACATACAATGGGGGAAAGTGATGTGGTCAGAGAAAATTATAAATACCAGAGAAACTTAGACAGAGACAAGAGAGTAATAGACATTCCAGAGAAAGATAGACATTCCAATTAAAAATACATATTACAGAGAAATTTACAGAGCAGAGAAATTTACAGACAAAATCATAGAAACATGTTCAAGAATAAGATGAAAATACAGAGAAATAGCTTTTTTCAAAATAAACATGCCAGAGAAAATTGAAAGAAGAAACATACATCAAGTAAAAATCAGAGAAATTCAAATGCCAGGAAAATTTATAGATAAAATCACACAAGCATGTTCAAGAATAAGTTCAAAACACACAAAAATAATTTTTTTCAAATTCATGTAGTTTTTTATTACGAAATTGAAATCCTAATTTATAGAAGGTTAACATAAAATGCAATTAACTGTGTTTCCAGAGAAAATCTAGTTGTATTGTAGAAAAACTTACCAGAGTTAGGATGAAACTTTAATGACGAGCTGATATGTCTTGAGATGAAGATGCGACGTGATGAAGATGAACTGAGATGACAATGAACACTGAAAATAGGGTCAGAGAAATTTGTGAGGAAGGAATGTGAATGATTTTTGCAGAAGATAACGAAACTCTAATGTCGATGGTGAAGATGATATTGAAACCCTAGTTCTGCTGTACTCTTGTTCGTGAAAATGGTTGGATGCTTGGAATGAAACTCAGTCGTTGGAATCAATTTCGTCTTTGTGTTGATTTTGTGAAGGGTATTTTGGCCCACGAAATAATTAAAAATGCAGGCCATGTTGTTCAGAGACCTAATGCATCACTATTTTTTTTGGTGTCCTTTATCCTCTAAATTACTATTATTAGGGACCTTAAAAAAATTCCCTATTATCAAATATAAAAAGTAGAGACTATTATCCACACTTCCAAACTTGTGTAAACCAAACTACGGGAACACAAGATATATAGAAGTGTGATTCTAATTTATCATTAATTTGGAAGTGCAATTTTAGGAGTAATAAACGAGTTGAATGGTTAATTGTTTAAGTTTAGCTTAAAAACTTTAATAAATTTTAAAATTTGTTTAACCTTGATTTGTTAAATTTTTGAATCAATTTCAAACAAATTTTAATCGAGCCGAACACGAATACTTTGACATTTTTAGCTAATTTTAATGCACTGAATAAATAATTTGCTGTTTAATTTTGATTTAAATTCTAAAAAAGTAATACTACGTACTTCGAATTTGCTTTTGACCAGAATGACTCGAATTTTGTTTCATCGCTTGTCCGGCCAGTCGTTCGGTGAAGAAGTTGATAGTCGCAATCAACAAGATGACAATCGCAATAGACAAGTGTTTCACTTGGCCATCTAACCGATCGATCAGTGAACATAAATTCACACCACTCACACCTAAAGCTCTCGAGGATTGAAGCATTTTTCTTAAAGTCTTTACCGTGTCTAACAAAAACTTAAACGAATTTTTAACGAAACAGTGGATCTCAAACAGTAGTTTTTACCACCCTGCAAATCAACGTCACTGAAATTTCACAGTTTTTAAAGGGGTGTCAGTGTAATTATGATTTCTTCGGTGGCACAAATCAACTTCCACTTATATTCTTCTGTTTTCCCCTGTATTCCTTCTTCTTCCTGGATCAAAAATGGCTCGACGAAACCACACGACCGAGCTAGGCTCCATAGCCTGCGACGACCTCACCGAACTGGGTGCTGGAAAGGAGGGCTGGCTCGTTGACAACCCTAACCTCCTCACCGCACTCGACACTCACTCTCTCGCCATCGCTAACCACTCAGTTGTCCTTGTTCTTGACTGGTCCGATGGATCCGATCCAACCGGACCTCGAGTCAAGATTCGACCCACTCTCTCCCCGATCGAGTCCGAATACATATCTTCAGTTGAATGGTTGGTCTTCGACGATATTCGAGTTCTTGCCCTAGGGACCTCTTGTGGGTACTTGTTGATTTATTCTCTTCGAGGCGATCTCATTCATAAGCAGGTTACCCAAATTCCTTTTTTTTTTTTTCCTTCTTTTTTTGGATTATATGTTTTGGATCATGATACGGGTTATTGGGTTTTTTTTGGTAGTGCTGATTGGATGGTTAGAAAATTGTGTGAAAGCAAATGCAATTGTATGTTTGGAATTCAGAACATGAAATTGCAAAATTTGTGATCTTTTAAGTGTCATAATTGGGTGCGGTTTGATGATCTATTGGGAATTGGTGCACTGGGGAGGTGTTGGAGTAAGCCTTCTTTTTTTGGATTATATGTTTTGGATCATGATATGGGTTATTGGGTTTTTTTTGGTAGTGCTGATTGGATGGTTAGAAAATTGTGTGCAAGCAAATGCAATTGTATGTTTGGAATTCAGAACATGAAATTGCAAAATTTGTGATCTTTTAAGTGTCATAATTGGGTGCGGTTTGATGATCTATTGGGAATTGGTGCACTGGGGAGGTGTTGGAGTAAGGGAAAGAAATTGGAATTTAGCAATATATTTAATGATGCTTATTGGTTTGGTGAAAAATTGTAGGAAAAGAAAGGAATTTGACATTCTGAAATGTAAGATTCATAATCAGATAATCTCTCTGATTTTTTGCTTTGTTTTGTGGAAAAATTTAGGTAAAACAAAGAAATTAATTTGCTTCCATTTGGAAAGTGGGTTTGCTTTTTGACTATTTGGCTTTTTTTTTTGGCTATTTTAGTATGGGCTAAAAAGCTTGGTTTGAGAAGAATTTTTGGGTTTTTTGACTTTTTTGATTTTTTTTTGTGAGAGAAGAGTAATGATTATGGGCTAGATGTGATGTTTTGTTTGTTGTGACTAAAATAGTCTATTTTTTTGTGAGAGAAAGTGTAATGATTATGGGTTAGATGTGATATTTTGTTTGTTGTGGCTAGTCTATTTTGTCTTTTGTAACTATTTTAGTCTCAAACTTCCTTGCGAAATGGAGTCTATTGTTTGGTAGATGACCAACAATTTTCTATTGCAAAAGAGTGCTTCCAATAGACCCCACCAAATGTTTTTTTGGACCCCAACCATCACAATTACTTCCCACTTCTTTTTAACCCCCACCTTAGTCCCAACTATACCGTTAGGTGTGTTTGATTGGACAGACTAGATAAGAGGAATTAAATTTCATTGGACTTGAATCTTGGAACTGTGAATCTCCCGGATTATTTAGTTGGAGTGAATGTGTATCATGTGTTTGTTTTTTCATGGGATTAGATGTCTGAAAAAGACTATTTTTAGTGAATTCAATATTTGATTGGACGGATTGGATAGAATAAATGAGTAAAAGACTATTTTACCTTTTTTCAATTGTTTACTAAGTAATAGCAATATTAAACATATCTTTATTATTTTAATTATTTTTAGCTAGATTAAATAAAAATTTTATTTATTTATTTTTTACACCATTAAATAAATTTATTTTTTGAAAATTTAATAAATAAAATATCAATAAAAATATATGTTATTTTTTAAATTAAAGTTTTAAATAAATTTATTTTAAAAAATAATAATAATGAAATAATGAAATTAAATAAAACATCTATTAAAATTTAAATAATGAAATTAAATAAAATATAAACAAAATTTTAAAATAAAACATCAATAAAAATATTTATAAAAAATCATTTAAAAAAATTAAATAAATAAAACATCAATAGAAAGTTAAATAAAATTATTTTATTTTTAAATTGAGACATTTAAATGTTGTTAAATTTTACTAAATATAATACATAATTAAATAGTAGAGGGTCAAAATGGTCATTTCACCACCTAATCCCAACAGTAAATAGTCTCATGGAAATAATCCCACCCCCCTTAGGATACAATAGTCCCTCATATGAGGGATATGGAGTTCCGCCGGAAAACAAACGCCGGATTGAATGCTTCCAATGGATTACAATCCGCACAGTAAATAGTCCCCCCCCTTATCTGTCTAATCAAACATACCCCTACTTCTTTGGACCCACACCAACCCCTTCCTCCGGCGGCCCCCTTTCCCACCATTGCTCACCTCTCCATTACATGGGGTTCAAAAATGTTTGAGGGGTAGTGCATATACAAAAATGGGCTTTCTCAAATTTTTGGAGGGGATAGGACCCAACAAACAAGGTATAGTTCACAATTTCTAAATAAAATATCTTTTTGACTCTATTTTATTTAGAAATAGGAATATATATATATATAAAGAAAAAGAAAAAAGGGGCCAAGTGATAAAAGAAGAACTTTGTTCGATTTTTATTCTATCTATAGGCACAGATCATATAAAAAAATGTTACTTATTCTGTCATTTCTTTAGGCTACTGGCCAATCGCTGGGAGGTTCGGGGTTTAATACTGATATTTTAGCAACAAATCCAATAAATCTAAGGGTAGTACTTGATTTATTGATCTTTTTTGGAAAGGGTGTGTGCGAGAGTCGTTTATTTCAAGAATAGGCTGGATCTGATTAGCTGTTCTTTTTTTCCTTATAATTAGGAAAGAAAGGGTTCATGATCTCGCGAATTACTTTCTTCTCCTATGTTATTTTTACTCTCTTATATTTTTCTTTCATCTCTTCTATCTTTATCACAAAAAAGAAACTATCATGTCTGTTTGAGGTTTTCAAGAAACTGATTAATGACTCACATTTGTACATACCGGACTTCAAAAGTTGGGATCACTACATTGTATGAGAGCTGTGTTGTACTATTGTGCATTGTGTTAAGATTACTACTATGTTTTTTCAGCAGCACCAAGTTCACGCAGCCATTTTTTCTGACTGAGTTGATTGAGTACTTTTTTTTTTTATCTTATTTCTCTATTTTGAATAAATTCTTCTTCTCAGTTTTTTTTTTTACTTTTTTATCCAATGAACTGTGATTCTACAGTTTAAAAGAAGAGTACAATTTGGGGTTTGTCTGTTTATGGATGTGGCATGAATTTATTTTCTTTTTTTGTGAATGATACAAAGATAGTAGAACTTATTAGTTAATTTGGTGCTGACAGATTGTAAATCCTGGACGAATTCTTAAGTTAAGAGTCCGTGGCACAAAGAGAGATCTCACAGAAGATACATCATCTGCAGAGATTTGTGTTGTAATGCCTGGTGTGGTTGCTCGTTTTGATGGATCTGAAATCCAGGTATTTGGTATTCTTTGATGTTAAAGCTATGAGAGTTTTTGTTGGCATATCTGCTTTTTGGCAGACTCTCTCTCTCCCTCTCTCTCTCTCTCTCTCTCTCTCTCTCACTCTCTTTTCTTTTTTGTGGCAAAGGTTGTAATTTTCCATCTGAATGAATCAGGTTTTTATCTTCAGGACAAGTTCATATATTTCTTGACGTCAGAAAAAATTTCCTTGATTGGGCTCTTTGTATCTGTTTCACTTTTTGTAAGTGTTAGCATTTTGGATCCTAATTGATTACGGACGTGCTTTTCTGTGCTTGAAATGTAGAGTATGTTGCAGCGATGGTTTCAAGAAACACACTCTCAGTTTTGGGATCAAAAGAAAAATCCTGTTGATTCTGGGAGTTCCAATGTAAGACTACCTTACCAGCTATGGAATGTTAACAAGTATGGGTCATGTGCTGATGCAGCAATAACTGGCATAATGCCGCCTCCGCTGATGGAACTGCAGGTGATTACTTTTGTTGCTCAATCTTAACATGTGTATGTTCAAACCTATTTTACCAGAAAACACTAATTCCTTTGCGAATTATATATTGGAACGCATGTTCGTAAATATGGTATATTTTCGTTCCAAAATGGTAAGTTTAGTGATCTAAGCGATCCCAAAAGTTTTTTTCAATATTTTTGGTGAAGGTTTCCTTGAGTTGAAAAATATATCAAATAAGAACTAAAATATTAGGTAAGTCAAGTTTTGACAGAGAAAAAGGTCAAAAATGGGTCATAATGCTCATAGAAATGTGTTGCTACATAATTAATTTGGAGAAAGAGAACTTCTAATTTATTGGATGTCTAATTGTTAAAAGAAAATTACTTTAGAAGACTATTAATTTGTCTAGTATTGACTATTAATTTGTCCAATGATTTATGGAAGCTTTCTGAAGTTAGTCTGGTATTTGAATTCAGCTGCTTTTATTGTTGGGCAGTCAAGTCAACGTTATTATTGTGCAGTCACTATTGGAGATGATGCTGTGATTTCGGCATTCAGGTTAGCATGGTGGGATTTCACGTTATGCTGATTGTTTTCTTTAAAATAATAATCGATTGTCATGTTGATGCACTTGAATAATCACTTCACTATTTTCCTCTCTAACTGTGTTTCAACCCTTGTCTAATTCTACAAAAGACTATCAGAGGATCGAAGCAGGTCTTTAGTGGGAGCTATTCTGTCAAAAGTTGTGCCAGCAACATTTTCAACAATAGCTTCTTTTTCAAAAATGATATGGCGGAGTGACCCAAAATCAACAACAAAGTCAGAAGCAAAACCCCAACCATTTGCTCGAGGTAATAATAATTCCCTTTAATGTTTGATTTGTTCTGAAGTCTTGTTTTTAAATTGTAGTAAAGATTTTATGACTATACAAGAACAAATAATTCACTCGAGTACTAGTCTGAATTGGTTACTGTGTTTCCATGATATAGTGGTTTTGAACATCTATGTGATTGTAGCTCGACTTTTCGTGCTCCTTTTGAAAGATGATATGTCTTACAGTTTGGACTCTCGTGGTTCTGAATTTGATTTCACAATGTGAAATAGAAAACACAAAAGAGTCAAAATTCAGCAAATCTTTTAGAAAATCGATTTTAAATCAAAACGTCAAAAATGTACTGCTTTGCTAGATACAAAATCGTCACCTAAATATTTTTTTTTGGGAGAAATTTAGGAAATCCGAAACTCGTGCCAAAGGCCAGTTATCCATCATCACCAATAGTGTCTAGGTTCTAGAACTTAGGTACGAGAGGGAAGGACATGAATTGAGCACTCCCGCTCGTTCGATCAAAGATCAGCCTCTACTAATCATGATGTGATTCTTATTTACATTATATACTCTTGTTCCGATTTATTAGGTTAACTTACTATGTGATGCACATACAAGTATAGACTAATTTACAAAAATTGAAATACTTTGATTTCATGTATGTATTTGAAAATAGTTTATGAATGTGCCACTTGAAAAAGTGGGCTCAAATGTACATTAATCAAACTATCCCAATTCAAGCAACTAGCCTTCATCCACAGACATTCAAACAGTTTATCACTTAAGCACTTAGTCTCATGGTGAACATGCTAAACATGGCAACACTAACATACAATGCAATACGTTAAAACAAAGAAAAGCTCACCTAGTACTCCGAGGCAAGCCAAAAAAAAATAAAATAGTTAGAAAAAAGAATGATGCTAACTATGCAATATGACTTAATGCATCACATACAATATGCAATTACTAGGCTCGGCTATTAATATGACATATGAATCAATTTGATAGTATGCGGTAAGACACGTATTCAAAGAAGTATTAACTAACAATGCAAGTTAAAATGATGCGCTGAGCTCGATGCATGCAAGACAATGGATGCAAGGCATGCGAGATGCTAAACAAAATATGATGTTCTAAACTAACCATCATAAGTAGGTAAATAAAAGGGAGAAAGACGTGGAGTTGGAAGACATACACATTATTACAATTGTGTCCTCACGTAGGAGGGTCTGAATAAACTAACTAGCTAAACTAATTAACTAGCTATTACAAAACGAATTAACTAACTATGCTAGTTAGTTATTACAACATCACAACTAATTAACTATTCTAGCTAATTATTACAAATTGGAACTAACTAATTAATTACACTAATTAATTAATTTACAAAATTCTAATTAGCTAACTAATTAATTATAACATGAATACAACATGAAATAAAGTAACTAAATTAACTAATTAGCCCCGAGAAGCGAGGGCTGCTCATGCCTGTGCGGATTTCCACCCAAAAAGTACATTGTTCTGCTGCCAGAATATTTCTGTTGCACAGTAGAACATCTTTTCACCTCAGCCATTTTTCTGTCCTGTTCCAAAAACACTGCTGCTTAATTTTACAAAAGTGGCTGGCAGGCCAGAAGTGGTGGTTGGTCGGCCACAAATGGTAGCCTGCCGTCCAGAAATAGTGGCCTGCCAGCCACTGAAGCTTGGTTCCCCCTGCTGCAACAGAAAGCATAAAGAGCACAAAACAAGGTATTCTCAAGGTATGTTTGTACACCTTACCCCTCCTTATTAGGAATGGCAACGGGGCGGGACGGGGCCGGGGATCACCCTCCCCGTCCCCGATCCCCGATTGTGAAAATCTCTCCGATCCCGACCCCGACCCCGATCCCCGACGCGGAACCCATCACCACCCTCACTCCCATCCCCTAACGGGGATCGGGTTTCCCCGACCCCGAAATATCCCCGACAGTTCTCAACACACACACACACACACACACACAAGAACTGTTCAGATCAACAACCATCACCAACAACAGCAACAGATACATATATATATATATATATAACAACTTTAAAAAAAAAAAAATTGTTCATCAACACAAACAGAGAGAGAGAGGGCTTCTGCAGCTTCAGCTTCAAAAAAATTTGTTCATCAACGAGAGAGAGAGAGATCGGTAGCTTCAGATCGAACCACGATCCAGATCGGTAGCTTCAGATCGAACCACGGTTTGTCCAGATCGAACCACGGCCCTGGTCCTGTGTACGGATGAAAGATGGTGAAGAAGAAACGATCGAACCACGATTTAAGTGAAAAAAAGCTTCAGATCAAACCACGATCCCGTGAGTAAGGGAGAGAGAGACGAAAGACATGGTCAAACAGAGAGGGAGAAATGATCGATGGCGATGTGATCCGTGGAGGAGAAGGAGAGAGGAGGGGAGTGGTGGGAGTATTGATGGAGGAGGAGGTGGCGGTGAGAGATGATGAAGAAGAGAGAGAGACCAGAGACGGTGGAGAGGAAGAGAGATATGAGGAATGGAGAGAGAGAGAGAGTAGATCTACATGAATGAGAGAGAGAGTAGATGTAAATGAATAAAAGGTAGAGATGAGAATCAAAAAAAGTATATATATAATACATATATCATTTGGGGGACAAACGGGGCGGGGCTCGGGGTCGGGGCGGGCCGGGACTGAAACATGTATCCCCGTCCCCGGCCCGAATATCATCGGGAATTTTTTTTTTATCACCATTCCCGGCCCGTCGGGGGTATTTTTCGGGGAATAACCGTTATATTCGGGATCGGGGGGTCGGGTCCCCATCGGGCCGGTTTCAGATTGCCATCCCTACTCCTTATCATCAAAACAGTTCAAAGGAGTGGCAAGCTTGATTCACAAACCATCAATCGATGAAATTTCATTGCATGATATTGCATTATGGCCTATGAACTAAGATGTACAATTTCAATAAATGCAACAAGAAAAGACTCTCAAACCTTCTCTCTATCACGGATTGATCAAGAGAAGTGGTTGATCTTGGAAACTTGAACCATTTCATCACTAACAAGTATGAAATGCTTCAAGTTTCCATATGTTCAATTAATGTCTAATTGAACACCAAGTTGATTATTATCTTACATCATTTTAATCCTCATTTTATTACTCCATTTTAATTACCAATCATTCCTTAGCCAATTGAGTCCAAAAGTGAGCTTTAAGTCCTCTAATGGAAAGGAGTACCAAACCAAGTGTTGCTTTAGGCATGAGAGAAGTGTCCTACTGTTGGTAATTGAGAAGGAAATTCAAACGCTGGTTTGGGCCGTGGTAGCGGCCGGGCAGGTGATGTCCGAGCGTGTTTGGGCCGAGCTAACTTGGGTTTGTCCAGAGGTGGTTTTGCTCGGTCGAGGCCCAGGACCATGTTGGGACCGAGCTATTTGAGCTTGTCCATGTCCAGAGTCGGTTTTGCTCGACCGAGGATCAGGTCCCGTGTCTGGGCCGAGTTTACTTGGCCGAGATGATCGCTTGCCAACCCGGGGTCCATGGTTCGCACGTTTAGCTCGGCGGGAAAGGCCTTCTGTTTGCCGGCTCGACCTGTCTTGAACTCGGCTCTGCCAGAATGCTACTGAGCTCGGCGAGTGGAGCCCTCGGACTCGTTACGCAGCACGGTCATATGAGGCCGAGGTTATGCCGCCGCGATGCCTAGTTCCCGCTAATGTTGTCTGGCGGTTTGGTTAGGTGGTGTTCGCTGGATTTGTGCTGACAGATGGGAGAGCAGCTCCACGTGTCAAGAGACTAATGGGTGCAGAGTTGAGCGTAGAAAGTATATAAGCATGACTGCACCCCCCATGTTGGGGATGGAACATGATTTGGTTGATCGGATAGATTCGGAGCTTGGACGAAAGGAGTACGGACAGCGACGAATATCTCTTCCCCGTACAATTGGCGCCGTCTGTGGGAGGGATTTTTGTAGACACAACCTTGTCCTCCGAGCTCATCTGATCGCCTTCCATGGCGAACAACGACAAAATACCGTTGTCTGCCATTGACGGTGTTACCTCGAAGTCAGCCAGACGGAGAGACGGACTCCCCGCCGTTCCAAACATGGCGGACCTGGAGACTTCCTCAGGAGGACTGCTGAGAGATGCACGAGATAAGCGCGCCAGAAGTTTTGGTCGCTCACGGAGCCCAGACGGACACCGGCGGCGAAGAGAATCGCATGCTCAACGTCTGGAGCACAAGTTGAGGGACCAAGACACCGTCATCTAGAGAATTGCGGCAGAGATGAAAGCTCTCAAACGACAGGTCAAAGGGAAGGGTGTTGCTGGGGTGGGAGACCACAGTGAGCGCACCTAACCCCGCCGCTCAGGCAGCCACAGCCAGCGGCACACTCCCTCCCTTTCTATTACCAGAAGCTATAGAGTTGGGGACCTAGATGTGCCCGTAGAGAAGTCTAGTGCCTAAGATAGTATCTACCATCCCTCGCGTCCGTCGACCACGTCAAGATATTCCTACTCCATCCGTTCAGAGGACTTAAGGGATGTCTTGAAGGAGCGAGCTCGCCGACGGGAGGCTGAAAGGGTGCCGGCGTTCCAGCGGTTATCTTACGGAGGTCGCTATAGTGAGGAGGTTATGATGCTGCCACCTCGTTTGGCCGTACCAGTTCCTTTGGACACCGACTTGGCGAGGCTGAACGCCTCCCCCTTCTCCCTTGAAATACCACGCCGCTCCCAGCGGGCTTTCACCAGCCCAAGTTTACACTTTATGACAGAAAAAGCGATCTGTACATGCATGTAAGCCACTTTCGGCAGGTCATGGCCGGACACAGGCGTAATGATGCTCTTATGTGCCTTATTTTCCCATCCAGCTTGGGCGAGCTGGGCTTGAAATGGTTTGAGAGACTTCTAGAAGAGAGCATTGAGAGGTGGCAACAGTTGGCGGAAGCATTCGTGACTCGTTTCAAAACCAACACTAAAATGCCAAAGCAAGTGGACCACCTTCTAAGTGTCAAGATGGAGTTGAGTGACACCCTC